AACCTCTGTTACAACTGGAGCGGAAACTTCAAAAACATTTAGCAGGTTTTTATTGTCTGCCTTGTTATCCTGAAGGGATTCTCTGTCATATCTGCGTCACTTTGTCCTTGTTTCTGTGGTTCGGTTCTGGTCAGAACTGGGCTCAGTTTGTGAAAGCTGGAACAGTTTTCCTCTGATTTATGTGACAGGTTATCATCGATCTCTCTCCAGTTGTTTTGTTGTTCCTTCACCTGTCCGACTCAGATGGACTCTTGTTTTATGGTGATTATCAGGAGCCCAGTTCTGCAGACGGATACAGGTTCTAAGCCCCCCTGTCGGGTTTAGATCAGCTTAGTGACCCCCCCACCTGCCAGCAGGGATAAACCTTTAGTTCTTCTAGAAACAACAAGTGAATTTATGAATAAACAATTAGAAAACTATTGTTTACTTCAAATAACTGCTGTATTGGTTTAATTTTGAGGTGTAGCACAGAAACGAAAGCAGCAGAGATGAAAAATAATCATACAAATACTTATAAACTATAGCTTTAATTTAAGCTTTGTTTAAAAATTAATTGTCTTGTGACCAAGATCGTCTTCTGTTGAGTAACGATAGTCGAACTCTGAAAATAACTTTTAGAATTTATTTGCAGCATTTTGAGCTGTGCATAAGTTTAAAAATGCTAAATCTTTCACAGTGATGTCAAACGTTATACGAAGAGATTTCCTGTCAGCTAGCAGAGAAAAACAGTCCGTTTCAAACAAAATTATAAGAGAATTAAAGGGATCATTTCTTAAGAAACCTGTTGGAAAACTTTGCTTTAAATGTATACTTGAAAMATTTTAAGATGCTAGACTGAAAGATTGCTAAATTAAATGTCAGGGACTATTTTTCTAGTGCAAATATCAAATTGTGACAAATATTTTACTCTATTTCAATTAGTGTACTCTTATCTGTAAACATTTATGACTCATTTAAAGATGTTAATAAAAATAGATATTTTTTGTAAATAGGGATAAAGGATTAAAGTGATTCCTTATTGACAAAACATTTGTAGAAATGAGCTGAAATTAGAAGAGGCCAGGTAAAAGTAGCAAAAGGCTACATGATGTTAGCAAAGGTTCAGCAGCTTGGTTGCCAAAAGAAGCAGAAACTAAAACAAGTGTTAGCATTAGTCAAATTAGCATTAGTAGAACTAGCATTAGTAATATTAGCATCAGTAGAACTAGCATTAGTAATATTAGCATCAGTAGAACTAGCATTAGTAATATTAGCATCAGTAGAACTAGCATTAGTAATATTAGCATCAGTTGAACTAGCATTAGTAATATTAGCATCAGTTGAACTAGCATTAGTAATATTAGCATCAGTTGAACTAGCATTAGCAGCATTAGCATTAGTCATATTAGCATCAATAGAAATAGCATTAGCAGCAGAATTAGTAGCATTAGTCGTCAGAATTTAACTCCCTTTAACCTGTAAATTATTTTGTATGTTGGTAAATGTCTCAACTTGAGTTGGTTTGATCGTCTCTTGTGTTTCTGGTTCTCTACCTGTAGCTTCTTCTGATCCTCAGTCCTGAAGAGTAGAGGTCCACGAGTCTGTAGTTCACCAGGATAGATGATGGTTAGATGATGGTTCTGAAGCTGCTCCTCCTTCCAAACCCAGAGGAGCTGAAAATGATGCAGGAGGTCCCTGTCCCTGGCTGAGACCCGAGAGCTTCTGTGGTTTACAGAAATGGAAACGAGAAGGAAAACAACACCGGGGATCCTCACATGGACCCCAGCTCCTCCAGCGCTGAACTCCTCCTCATCATCATCAGAGGACAAAGATGATTTCTTTTCCCAGATGGACGAGAACGGTGTCATCGGACTGTCAGACTTGGAGGAGGCGGAGTCGGGCCACCCCCCTGAGGGTCCTGAACCTCTCGGCCCGGGAGCTTTTCGGCCTGGTCATTTCACACCAGACTTCTCTAAAGTTGAACCCAGAGTTTATTTCCCCAAAGGAGGCTACAAACCCCCGAGAAGCCAACAGTCACTGGTGTCGCCGGAGGCCCACATCGCCTTTAAATCCCCGGCCGACATCGTGATGGAGGTTCTTTTTGACAGCGACGGATCCTCCACGCCGACCAATGCCGCTACTTTCATCGTCCCGCCGGAGTTCAGGTGTCGACAGCAGGCCTCCACCCTCCTCCAGCAGCTGCAGGTACCAGCAGAACTACGACCCAAACAGAACCCCAGACTTGGTTTTCAGAGGGCTGAATAATTGACTGCTGAAATTAGCCAAAGAAGCTAAAACTGAGTTATTAAAGCTAAAATAAACAAAAAAAGTAGTAAAGGGCTAGCTAAAAGACATTAAGAGCAAAAATCTATTTAAAAGCTAAATTTAAAAAAATTAAGTAAAAGTAGCAAAAGGCTAAATATTACCAAATGGCTATATCAGCTTGGTAGCTAAAATTAGCATCAGTAGAAGTAGTATCAACAGTAGCAAAATTGGCATCAGTTGTCTAATTGATGCTAATCCTAGCATCCTAGCACAAGAGGTATTAGCATTAGTAAAATTAGCATCAGTAGAAGTAGTATCAACAGTAGCAAAATTGGCATCAGTTGTCTAATTGATGCTAATCCTAGCATCCTAGCACAAGAGGTATTAGCATTAGTAAAATTAGCATCAGTTGAACTAGCTTTGGCATTTTTACCTGTAGCAAAATTAGCATCAGCATAACTAACACAAGCAGTTTTAGCAGTAGCAAATTTAGCTTCAGTTGTTTGATGCTAATCCTAGCATCCTAGCACAAGAGGTATTAGCATTAGTAAAATTAGCATCAGTTGAACTAGCTTTGGCATTTTTACCTGTAGCAAAATTAGCATCAGCATAACTAACACAAGCAGTTTTAGCAGTAGCAAATTTAGCTTCAGTTGTTTGATGCTAATCCTAGCATCCTAGCACAAGAGGTATTAGTATTAGTAAAATTAGCATCAGATAAACTAGAATTAGCAGTTCTACCTGTAGCAAAATTAG